AGTTTAATAATACAGTTTAATAATACAGTTTAATAATACAGTTTAATAATACAGTTTAATAATACAGTTTAATAATATATAGTTATTGTGCAAGTTATAAAAAATATGCACGTGGGTGTTGAACGGCAGCAGGTGATTGGCTTAGATCATGCCGCTTCACGGCATGATCTACGCCAATCACCTGCTGCCGTTCAACACCCACGTGCATATTTTTATAACTGCGCAATAACGATATTATTATGAAGCAGTTATTAACGACTGTATTATTTTATCATATTCGTAGCTTACGTCATAAGTAAAATATCATTAGCAGTATAAATAATTTTTTTTTAATAAGTTTGCTGCTTACATTTTTTCTTTTTTATATTCAAATTTTAAAATACCTAAAAATAAAAAAACACAAACTTATAAAAAGCCTACTGATGAACAATTATCATATTTGCACAACAAATCTAATGTTTTAAATACTCATAAGTCAACAAAAAATTGGATTAATAAATTTTAACAATATCTTACTGATGTTGGTTCTAAAAATGCACCAGAAGATATAGATAATATTCAAGAACTTGAAGTTCAATTATGTGAATTTTTTGCTGTTGCCGAAAAAGATGATGGATCACTATATTTAGTTAATTCACTTTTAGCTGCTATTCAAGCAATTAACAGATTTTATAATTCAAATATTAGCAAGATAAAACCTGTTAACTTATGTGATCATTAAGCATTTTCTGATTTTTAAAAGATATTAGATAGAAAAACTAAAGACCTAGCTGAAAAAGAATATAGCAAAATACAAGAATCAGATTCGTTATCATTTGAAGAAATTTAATCTATATTATGATATGAAGTGATATCTAGAGATACTCCTGAAGGATTATTGTATCAGGTTTTTTTTATATAATACAATTTTTCTAGCTTTAAGGGTTGGTGAGCATTATATATTAATGTTAAAAGGTTTTTAAAAAAAGAAAAGAAGAAGGTTTCAATGTATATATTTATAAGTCTAAAACTAATCAACATGGGCTAGATAACCTTGGCACTGCTGATAAAATTTCTATTCCTGCTAATAATTCTATAATTATTGAAAATTATGAAAAGTACTTTTTAAAAAAACCTGTTAACACTAATTCTGAATTTTATTTACATCTGCTTGGTACAAAATCTGCACCTGGTACTTTAAGAATTTTAAATTATTTTATTAGCCAATATATTATATTCTACTTATTTATATATATATTTTTTAGATTATTCAGCCATTAATATTTGGTACCAAACAAAATGACTTGAAAAACATAAAATAAATTTATTTATACAAATATTGGTTAAAAAACTGGAATCAATTATGAAGGTCACAAGATCACTAATTAAGCAGGTCAAAAAACTCTTGTATAATAGTTAAAAGATCTAAATACTTCTGATTATGAAGTTTCAACTATTACAAAATATTGATCTTTATTATATATAGCTCATTATAAATAGCTAAAAGATGGTATTTAGAAGGTTATACTAAATAGTTTAATGACAATTTTAGAAACTTCTGAACTATTATTAGATATTCAAAATTCTCAGTCTAATATGATTCCTGTTACTGACTCATATAATCAATTCAGATCTGCAAAACAAATTTATCAAGTTAAAGTATCTTACTATCAATTTTTTTTATTACTATTTATTAATTTTTTTTTTAAAAAAATTAAAGTAAATCTTGTATCAAATTGCAATTAGCTTTACTACAAGCAAAATCATCAAAACCACAAGCAACTCTATCACAAGTGAAAATATTATCAAGATTATCTTTGTGTCAATTACTATTAGTTCTAAATGAAGACTTAGAAAGTCAAGAAATTCAAGCAACACAAAAAGAAATTCAGAAAATTCAAACAACCTAAAAAAAATTTCAAAAAATTCAAGCAATCCAAAAGAAAACTCAAGAAATTCAAGCACTCACAAAGAATTTCAAGAAATTCAAGTAACTCAAAAAGAATTTCTGCAAAGAAATTTATTTATGAATTCAAGTATTACATTTTATATATATAATTATTATTATAGATAGCCTTTATTAAATTATAAAATCTGATCTGTTAGGCAAATTTTAATATGAATATGATATAAACACTACTATGAATAAAAAAAGCTACCAAGAATATTTCAAAGAGCATTGCACTATTGAATAGTGTTATCAAAATGAAATTAAAAAATATACAATAATTTAATGCTTGTATGTTTTTTAAAAAGAAATAAATAAGTAATTTTAGCTTTAATTTGTATATGCAAATATTCATAAAAAGTATATATTAAAATAACGTAAACTGCTTAATAGACAATTCATCTATCATCTGAAGAAGATCTGCAAATTTTATAAGTAAATTTTACTATTAAGCCAAATATGAAAAGATTTCTTCTAAAACTATTTTTCTTACTAACTAAATCACTCTTGGGCTTCTAACAAAAGCTGTAAAGCTCATCAAGATGCATTTAATAGTGGTGAGAATGCTAAAATCGGCCTGGTGGTTCTTGAGAAATCTTTAAAATGTTTCACTGACATATAAAATTTCTTTAAAAAAAATCAATTTTTTTTAAAGAAATTTTATATATCGATGAAATGTTTTTTAAAGATTTCTCAAGAAAACCTCAAAAAAACAATTACTAGTCACACCCGTAAATCCTAATTCCATAAGTAAACAATAAAAACAAAACACGGTAAAAGAGTAAAAGACCTCACAGTAACTAT